AGGGAGGGTTGGGTATAAAAGGGGACGTTATATGGGCTCGGGAGTTAGTTATGTTATAGTTAACTAAGAAGACGGAAGACGTCTTAGATAGAGCCCTGGACTCCCTCGTTCGATGTCCTTGTCAGGGCCGAACAGGATCGAGCCAGCGGCGTGGTCCCGAAAGCCAGAGCCGGTGCTCTTCTAAGAGCTGGTCTGGGACTCCGGGTACCGGCCCGACTTACCAGTGTCGGGCCAAGTAGCCTCCCCTAGCCCAGTAGTGGAGGACTGTGAGGTAGGCTAGGACTTAGCCAGGAAGTGTATCCTTGAGCTAGTCGGGTGAGGGGGCCGATACCCCCTCCAGTACTGTATGTCACATACGAGTTGTGTTGAATAAATATCCGTGTGCCTCCACCTCGGCGTCAAGTGTCTTCACCGGTACTTCATATGTGTAAAAGTGAGTATGCGTGCGTGTGTGTGTGTGCGTGCGTGTGTGTGCATGCGTGTGTGTGTGTGCATGCGTGTGTGTGTGCATGCGTGCGTGTGTGTGCATGCGTGTGTGTGTGTGCATGCGTGTGTGAGTGTGCATGCGCGTGCCCCAATGTGTGTGGCGAGCAGTTCGCGCGCTGTGTTAACAACCCGGTGACCCGAGTTTGATTCCCGCTCACGGCCAACACCAGTGACGATTATTTGAACTGGTCCTGAGGCCTCCCCTAGGTCTACGTAACCATCGCCACTGGGGAGACAAAGGCGGTGTGGTGCTGGCCACTCACCCCCTCGTGTGCTGTTCTGGCCTTCATAGGTGCTCGCTAACAGCACTTGCTCCAATAGTCTGTTCAAGCTATATGGGGAATCTTTGTCTTAGAAACAATTATCTGAACGGGTCCCGGGCCTCCCCTAGGTTGACTCAACCTCAAATGAGTACCTAGTGCAGTGTGTAAACATCGCCACTTTGGAGACAAATGCGACTAGGTCCCCTCGTGTTCTGTGCTTGCATTCATAGGTGTTCGCTAACAGCACTTGTCCCAACAGTCTGTTGAGGTTATACGGGGAATCGTCATTGCGTGTGTGTGTATTTGTGCGTGTGTGCCCCCGTGTGTGTGTGCGTGTGTCTGTGTGCGTGTGTGCCCCCGTGTGTGTGCGTGTGTCTGTGTGCGTGTGTGCCCCCGTGTGTGTGCGTGTGTCTGTGTGCGTGTGCCCCCCTGTGTGTGTGTGCGTGTGTCTGTGTGCGTGTGTGCCCCTGTGTGTGTGCGTGTGTCTGTGTGCGTGTGTGCCCCCGTGTGTGTGCGTGTGTCTGTGTGCGTGTGTGCCCCCGTGTGTGTGCGTGTGTCTGTGTGCGTGTGCCCCCCTGTGTGTGTGTGCGTGTGTCTGTGTGCGTGTGTGCCCCCGTGTGTGTGCGTGTGTCTGTGTGCGTGTGTGCCCCCGTGTGTGTGCGTGTGCCCCCCTGTGTGTGTGTGCGTGTGTCTTTGTGCGTGTGTGCCCCCGTGTGTGTGCGTGTGTCTGTGTGCGTGTGTGCCCCCGTGTGTGTGTGTGCAATTGTGGGAACTTATTACGCCCCTTCCGACAAGCAAGCCAGTATCAGGTAAGTTAAAATAAATAATATGTTGTCTATGTATGCCTTTGTCCGGGCAAAACTGCGTTGAACGGGTGATGTAGCCTGCATGCCCAGCCACCGCATGCCCAAGCAGCCTCTGATGGATAGAGCCCTAAACGAGCGCAACACGGGCTGGAAAAGAGATGGACTGATGCGGTACAGGAGGACGTAGAGCTGAGTGGACTTGCCGAAGACTGGTACCAGCGGTGTCAAGATTAGCCTCTATGGAGGAGGTTCGTGAAGGACATTACTCCAGAGGAGGGACGTTCGCAACAACGGAGCGCTTGGCGGATAAAATGCAGCAAGTTAGCACAGTCGGGGATACAGCTGGTAATTCTGCCAGTCATCTCAGTCAACAGATGGCACCTGGTTCTGTCCCGTGACCTGTCAGCGAGCCTTGGACACTTCTCGTGGCCTCAGAGTGCACCTGGCCTGGCACAGCAGGCGCTGTTGTGACGTCACCACTATTTATTGGCGAATAGCTGTTGTTGTTGCGGATGTGTAAAAGTGAGTGTGCGTATGTCTGTGCGTATATTATTATAAATCATGGCTAAAGATGGCTTACCAATACCTAATCATTAACTTGACACTGAAAATCTAGTAATGTCTTATTCATGCGTTAGGGAAACTGGTCTGACTGAGGCTCGTGTAATTTTAATTTTTGTGTGCAAAATCAATGCATTGTAGTATAAAAAAGCACGTATTGGTGTTGAGATCGGCTTATTCATGGGCACTCAGAATTGTACCACAAATCTCCTCTATTTGAACATACCTCTCGGTATGTGGCGAGCAAGCACCTACAATGGACAGTTTTGGTGGGTGGTGGTGTGATGCGCACAATGTCCGGCTGACTTTTACTGTATCTCCAAATTGCTAATGTCGGCACACATTACCACCTAATGCGGTCATTTTAGACTTAGTTGACTTAAGAGAGTTCCTGGGCCAGGTTCAGATACAAATTTCTGCCCTCTTGTGCACCGTGTCTAGGAATCTAACCCAGGTAGATGAGATTGTGAGATGATTTGTTAAACATCAAATCCAAAACTTGATGTAAATGATGAGAAAACTAATCACAAAAGGAAAATGCATCGTGTAGGCTCTATACTGAGTTAACACCACAAAGGTGTGCTGCTGCTGCTCACTAACATCAGGCAAACACTACTCCCATCACGCTTTGCGTGCATGTCACATGACCACCTACACTACATGTATGGGCAGTCATCGACAAACGAACAGGTTCCGTTCCTGAGACCCGTTCGTAAGTAGAATGGGTGCTGTAGGTCGGAATACAATAATGTCCTGTATTTAAATGCACGATGTAAAATGTTTTACGGTTCAACAAAAAGCATTGTTGAACTCATAAGAAATATTGCACATTTGCATGTAATGTAATAAATACTGTATAGTACGTAAAAGTGTAAATAAATTAACATCATAGAAAACAACTTTTATTTTCACTTTGAGTCCTGATGCTGGCTTGGAAGGAGCGTAATGAGTCCCTACAATTGCACACAAACACGGGGGTAGTCACACACACACACACGGGGGGGTACACACACACACACGGGGGGGGGGGGGTACACACACACACGAGGTACACACACACACGGGGGTACACACACACGCACATACAAAGACAAAAAATCCCCCGTATAGCCTTAAAGAACTGTTGGGGCAAGTGCTGTTAGCGAGCACCTATGAAGTCCGCCACGGCACACGAGGGGGTGGGTGACCAGCACCACGCCCGGCCGCCTTTGTCTCCCCAGTGGCGATGTTTACACACCGCACCAGGTACTCATTTGAGGCTGTGTCGACCTCGGCGATGCCCAAAACTCATTCAGATAATCGTCACCCGAGTGGGAATTGGGTGGCGAGGTTGGTAGCGTAGCGCGCGAACCATTGAATTACCTTCCCCCCACACACACACGGGGGTGGGGGGGGGGCACGCGTGTGCACGTACATACATGCGTCACACATACACATGCGCACTCACTTTCACACATAAGCACACTTACGTTCACACACACTCTCACACACACACAGTCCAAGTGGGAGGCTGACTCATTACATCTCGTGGCGGATAGCTCCGCTAAACAAAATTGTTCCATTCTTCAGTTCGTAAGTGCGAGTTCACGTTCGCAAGTTGATGTAAAAAAAAAATCTCATGGAAGATGGTTCGTAAATGTGATCGTACCAATTTGTTTGGGACATGTGTGTGAAAACACACGTGCATTGTTGAAGCTACTAGCTTATTACACACTGCACCACAGAGACCTGGTTACATGCACACATATATCATAAATATAATTAAACTCCAAATGCATCACTATCCATTGCAGCCTGCTTAGCTGGACACACACTGTGGGCGAGCATGTATCAATATTACTGAAGCGGTACGTGAAGAGGAGATTGGGCCAGTATCGATGACTCCTTAATACAGTTAAATCGAAGCACCAGATACTGTTTTAGGCTCAGTGGGCAAGGCTGGTTCGTTAATCACAATGTCATTTGATCATAATGCTTACTTTAGTTAAATGATCAAAATATAACTCGCTAATATACTCTACATGGTGTGATTTGTTGCCATTTTTCTTCACTCTGTATTTATTTTTATTCCTATTGTTCTTGCCACCTGTCCTGTACGTCATGTTTGCCAGGGAACCGATGCTTTGTGTTGATGAAACCCGAATCAAGACCTTCACAGCTCACAGGGCACTTCAACATAAACTGAACTGGTTACACGGGCTGCTTTATTGCCCTCCTGATAGTTCAGGGCCAAGAATCGATCACCGTGTTGCTGGGAATGCACAGAAGCAGTGGGAGCACCACATGCCATGCCTGCACGGACGCACATCCACAAGACAGAGATCTCTCCCCTTTATTCCGACCTACCACTGGGACTCGTGTTGTTTGCCGAGAACCTGTTAAGGTCACCACGAATGGCAAACGACGGAGAGGTGGGTCCACACCTTCTCCAAGTTTTTAGATCGCGAGGTTTACCGTGAAAGCTGAGTCTGATCTCACCGTACAATTACTCATTCAGGCTGAGTCAACCTTAGGGAAAACCAAGTCCAGTTTCACATTTCATTTGACCACTGCTGTGAATGGAAGGCGACCAGGATTCCAACCTGGGTCACTGGGATCATAGCGCAGTGCGCTAAACCACCAGCGCACGTGCAAATGCGCGCACATAATACGCGCATCTCATCCCCAAACGCCCATCCATGTACCTCCATCTCCCCCCAGACGCGACCCCCCGTTCCCTACCCCCCCCCCTACCGCCCCGCACACCCAATCATGACGCCCTCCACCCTTCCCCTGCACGCACACGCGTGGCTCAGAGGGAGCGCAACAGACTCGCGGTGTCTTCAGGCACCACAGCCGTCCAAGAGGGAGCTGCGCTTCTCAGCTCGTCGCCACGACCACCACCACCACCACCACCAACCAACAGCAGCCACCACTGCTGCTGCCGCGACGTTCTCGCTTCGGTTCAGCCGCAGCTCGCTCAACTCCCCACCCAGCTGGGATTCGAACTCTAGTGGACCAAGGCGAAAAGAGGAGAATATTCGTGAGTACCTGTGCAATTCATTGACCACACACCTTGTGATATTTGTGGGATTGCTAGCACATAGATCACTAACACACACACCTAATATTGCACACGCATTCCATCAGGTAGAAATGAATGTATTTAGTATGTGTGGTGTTTAATTTCGAGATATGACAAAGGATACATTTGTGTGTTGTATTTATATATACATGCATATGCGTGTATATATGTGCTCACACTTTACACATTTTGTTAGTGGATGACAATGTGTCCATTCTCCATGAAAGTGCTATACGCACATGGAAAGCCATACATGCACAAGCTACTATACACGACGTTTATATTAAAAGTATCAGCCCGAATTGTGTCTATTTTACAATACTGTTAGATCCTCACTAAACCAAAGTATTTAATTGGTCATGGTGTTGGCTTCAGAACGAGACGTGATAGGTGGCATTTGTACCCAGGACAGAGCCCATTGGGACCAGAAGTATATTTTTTCAAGACAGGCATGGACAAATATTAAGTTGGTTCATGTATATATGCATGTGTGCTTGTCTACACAGTGCATATGAATATCTTCATTTACAGTTAATGCTATAAAACTAACCATAGACAAATATTCACGTCGGGCAATTTTTCCTTCATAAAGGCCACATACGAGTCGAATGCACTTATTGATTATTGTGAGAAATCAAGGCAATTCCCTATCTGTCCATTGTGTGAACAGTTTTAGTAAAGCAGGAAATTCTTATCAGAGCACCCAAATACGTAGGGGTTTTCCTCTCATCCAGAGTTTGTATCACAATGATGTATTTTTTTACAAGAATTTCATGCATTACACAAAGGCAAATATTCCTCGTCCAGCCTTGTAGATCGTAGGGGCCAGTGTGGTTAGACAGCACTCATCGAGGTTGGGCACGGCACAGGAGTGGGTGTGTGGCCAACACACTGCCCTCCCGCCTTTGTCTCACCAGCGCTGTTGCTCACAATGGACTGAGTGGACATAAAGCAGCCCCAGATCGAGTTCAGATATTACCGATAACAAACTGAAACGAAATAAACCGCTCAAAATTGCGTTGTAGCTGTCTTCGCGGATATTTTCCATCACCGAGTCAGTTGTAAAATGTACACATTTCCGTGGTAGGGCCGTTCTCTCCATGGGCAAGAACACAGTTAACCTGTCACAAAGCTTCACGAACGTTATCAGCGATGATACACTGCATCACCTGACCGCGATTTAACTTCTAATTGAGAGTCGGGCACAGACACGTGTACACAAACGCACGCACGCACGCGTTGTGCGCCGAGACAAAGATCTTATTCTTTAGCACTCCGTTAAGATCAATCGTGTGGCCATGTGGTGGCCGTCTTAACTCCGCCACCACGGCACCGGGAAGACCACGCTCGTTCGAGCTTGAGTCAAGCGAGGGGAAAGCCCAAGATTGGTTCAGATACCAATTGCTGCTGGGTGTGGTCATGACCGCCTGAGATCCCCTGCTCCGGAGGCAATGTGGAGTGAATCATGCAGAGATTAGTTGAAACGCGTAAACCCACTTTGCATGGCCGTGAGCGTTCCCCCTCTTGCATGGACGGCGGGGCTGTGACCGTGTACTCCTCCCACAAGCAAACACCATCCACGAGTAGGACCTCTCTGAACAAGTCTTCCGACTCACCGAAACTTTCCTGGATGAAAAAAAATGCACGACTCGATTCGCATAATTATTGTCCGGTGGTATGCCTTGTCAGCCAGCGCTTGGATGTTAACAAAGACAACGATCCCCCGTATAGCCTTAACATACTATAGGGGGTAAGTGCTGTTAGTGAGCACCTATAAAGGACGGCACGGCACACGAGGGGGTGGGTGGCCAACACCACGCCCGGCCGCCTTTGTCTCCCTAGTGGCACTCATTTGAGGCTGAGCCGACCTAGGAGAGGCCCAGGACCGGTTCAGATGATCGTCACTGGTGTTTGCCGTGAGCGGGAATCGAACCCGTGTCACCAGGTTCGTAGCGCAGCGCGCTAACCGCTACACTACCGCTCCCCACAATGTTAACACATACACAGGTGAACGGACGCAAAGACGCACAGACACACACAGCACTTGCGTGCTTGTACAGATTGGTGAGACACGAAGAGACTGCACACACAAGGTGCGGGATACCTTCACACACCTAAACGCATTACAGATACAAACGGGATAACAGATGACGATTCGCTATTGGCTCAAGTGAGCTGTAATTGTTCTTGTTTCCTTCAAGATGTTCTTGTGAATATGAGTGCATATATATACAGGACTGTATGTTTCAATTTACCTCCTAGAGTAGTTGTACTGTAAATGGCTCATATATTACCCTGCATACCTCATGTAATAGAGACGACTGTAACTGGTGTTTCTTGTACACACGGTATTCCGCAAGTGCTAGGCAGATCGCAATTGGCACCGTTATAGTCAAGTCTATGCCTGCAACTAGAACAATCAATCAAACATGTTTTTTTTGTAAATTGGGACGTCAAAAAATGACTAACCCACAAGTTTATTGTGTCAGCCTTAGGTTCCTTATTCTTTTACATCTCAATATGTGAATCACTGATATGTCTATTTGGCTTCCAACATCAGCGAACCTTCTAATTCACCTTCTGTGGGGTGCGACGCTAAAGCCGACAGACCGCAGACAACGCCCGCTACATGATAGTTTATTCACGCTTACAGAGTTCCTGTGTCTGCGCGTGTTTATGTGTGAGCGTGTTTATGCTATGTAGGAATCGATATCATTACTCCGATGGTTAGAGCGTCGTACACCCTCGCGTTTGCAAGGTTGGGAGTTCAAATCCTGGCCTGGGCGATAATATGAGTACTGCTCTGTAGGCGTATAGCTTTGTATGGTTGACCAGTTCATTCCATGGGAATGGAGAATTCCCATCTCAAAACAGATTAGCCGCAAATTCGGAAAGATTATATGTTGATAAATGAGTGAGTAAATAAATCAGGCTCGACATGTGTGTTGGGCGCATAACATTACCGTACCGTAGTTTTTTTTGCAAATAATTCTCTTTCTTATTTTGTTTCTAAAGTTATGTTACTACGGTCCCATAACGTTATCTTTACGTGGATTTTGTAAAAAATAAAAATGTTCGTTTTAATTTTTAAGAAAATTATCCGCAAGCAGGCCTTAACATTTTGCCTTTATATCTATAAATATATTTGTAATACGTTTCAAGAAATATGTGCGTACGTATGAATATGCTTATGTACACTTCCAACTACTCAGGCTAAATATGAGTGAGATGACTTCACTCGCTAGCCTTCTGCGCGCATGCACACGCTTGCGCAGTGGTGGCAAAGCTTATTTGAAAAAGTAGCAAGCTCAAGCAATAAGATACTCCTAAAAAAGGAAGCTGCTACACTTTTAAATAATGTGTATACAATTTAAAAACTGTATCCCAAATAAAATGTATTATACACTATATATCACTGAATTGAGTAAAACAAATGCACGACAATTACACAGCATGGCAGCTGTAGGGTCCCCGAAAAGTGACGTTATCCGCGCTTCTATTTCTTCCTGTTATTCGTGGCTATCCGCGAGTTTACCCATAATGCACAGTGAAGCAGTGGCTTTCTAATACTCGCGTCAAATTATTCCTTTGTGTGTACACCTGCTACACCTTTGTGTGTATCCACGTGTGTTGTGGTTCTGTCTTCGTGTCTATCCGTGTGCGTTTCCCCGTGCCAGTGACGATTATCTGAACCGGTCGTGAGCCCCCCCCCCTAAGTCGACTCAGCCTTAAATTACTTCCTGATGCGGTGTCTAAATATCTCCACAAGAGATACAAAGGCGGTCGGGCGTGGTGCTGGCCACCCACCCCTTCGTGTACCGTGCCCGACTTCGTTGGTGCTCGCTAACAGCACTTGCTCCAACAGTCTGTTGAGGCTATTCGGAGTATCTTTACCTTTGTATCTGTGTGTGTGTGTGTGTTTCTGTATCATTGACTCTTGCTCACACAGATATGTAATGTAAATAGTAGAGACAAACACGTGTCTTGATGCACTAGAGCGAGCACGTTGTGCTTCCGCTACCCCCCTCGGGTGCGATTTAAAAAACTCCGATTGTGCAGACAAGGGAAGTTTGCAGCAAGTCCATCCTTCTTACCTGCGGGGTTCTTCACGGGCTGCGGACATTATGATGTCATTATTGCTATTATCTGCGATTTCTTCGCGGATGGGAGAAGTTGCGCAGAAAAATGCATGCTATTCGCAAGTTATCCGTGGTTTATTTTTTAACCCCGTGGATCAGAGGAGAAAAACCGCTGACAACGCCGCAGACATTAGGATCCGTGATGTCGGTTCCCCCATACCACTGCGGCAGATAAAAGGAGTTGTCCTGCATATACTACATTTAAAATGTACACACTACATAACGTCACGGCATACCATTTTAAATTAACTATACATGACATAACATTTTTGTCAAGGCCCTCTCCTCCTCTAACCCAGCTTAAATATACGCTGCCAAGCTTGGTGGTGTTCATTCGGACGCTGTCTTTCCGACAGCCCTGTTCTTCACCTGAGGACGGCTGCTTGCGTTGTGGCCGGAACGTCGTGAGAATTTTATTTTATTATGTTTTATTTATTTTATTTTATTATTTCCCTTCTACGTGACTTTACCGAAAGAACCAAGAAGATGAATCCCTGCAGTCACGGAAGCTTTAAATCGAAATTTAAGATGTATTATACACAACAATATCAGTGTACGGAAATTTACATGTACCATGCACAGTCATTAGAGCACCGTTATGATTGTATACAGTTATAAACCAAGTGCTGGCACCCATGCCTGCCTTAACGATTCGCCACAATGTGCATGCGCGAAGAGGTCCTCTGCTCCCATGTGTTCCGACTTGCGTGATGGAACGCGCACCCCGACCCAAGCTACCGCCACGCCAACAAGGGGACACGATTGACTGCTTTGGGCGCGTGCCGCTAATTAAGCTTAACAGAGGAGTTTATTGCATTT